CTGCAGGCGCAAAACCGGAAGTCCGAATTTCATAAACCATCTTCATTTCTAGTTGGAATATGCACTGTATAGGAGTCCATCAGCTTAAGACTGAAGCATGGAAAAGACTGGAACATTGTTAGGGCTGAAATAGAAGTGGCATTCTGTGAGTGATTCTGTATTTGTTTGCCAGATATTGATTTAGGCAGTTATATAGATAGACAGGTTTAAATAAATACAGATAGACCTCAATAGGTCCTCAATAGGTCCTCTATTGGACCTCAATAGGTCCTCAATAGGTCCTATTGGATCCTTGGTGATTCTCTGTTCATCTGCTGCTTTTGAATGTCAAATCAATCTGTAACAAAGCTATCCTTATCCGTGGTCTTATTTTGGATGAGGCCGCCACCCTGGTATGATTTATAGAATCCTACTTGGCCCAGAGGGAGTGATTCCCTTTTCAGAAATATGCCCCACACTCGGTGTGCCATGTGGTATGACCATATAACACTCTGCTTCATAAATTGTATTAGTTGCCAGTCTGCTTCCATGTACAATTCAATATCCATGTTGTTATCTATAAAATTCTACTTGGTATAAGGCCAGGTTATTTGAGGAGCCTCCTATCTCCGAAAACATCTGCCCCTGCCAATTCAGTCCTGCAGGGTTGGAGTACTCTGATTTCCTATGATTAAACATCATCACGACCCAGAAGCTCACCTTCTCTGTAGCAACAGCTGCCCTCTGGAATGAGGTTCCCCCTGAGATCTGGGTGGCCTCTACTGTTGTTTAGAAAGACACTGAAGATTTGTTGCTGTTGTTTTTTGCCCAGGTCTTTGATAAGGGAGAATGAAGAAGCTTTGCTTTGTCCTTATCCAAGTTACCATTTTTTGCCATATTTTATTTATTTATTCTTTGGTATAGTAGTTAAGGTGTTGGCCTAGACATGAAGAGACTAGGAGACTAGAGACTATTTATAGAAAATAAAGATGGGATTAAAATCAAATCAGTTAAATAAATATTCAGTTTAAAATTTAATGCTATAATTTAATGCATAGTCAGCAGATTTAGACTGGATCTGCATTTTTATTCACCTATTGAGTCCTTCACAAAGCTCTGGATAGGCAGATGTTGGTTAATGACATTAAAAGTATGCCACAAGATGTAAGTTGTCATGGTTGGTTGCACAATCAGCCAGATGTACTGATTTGACTCATTTGGCATTTTTGTCTATCTATTGATTATTACAGTGCTATGTGGGTAATCTACAGTTAGATAAGTTTAAGATTGGGGAAAACTTAATCATTCAAATCCTAACCCAAATCCTAACATTTATTAAGATAGCATCTAAGAACCAGGCAATTTGAAGGAGGATGGTTATTGTAAAATTAGAGTATTCAGATCTGATAAATTCAGTATTTCCAGATACTGTACCAAGGCTTCATTCCAAGGTCTCCAATCACAGTTGGTATAATAATTGATTTCTTTTTCCATAAGTATTCAATCTGCAAGTCCTGTATTTGATATTTTTTTTCTGTTATTTTCCTCAATTATAACATTACCTAGAATAGCAACATCAATGAACAATCTTTCTTCTTTTCAATAACTGTCTTATCACGCAGGTTATGAACTAGATCAGTGATGGCAAACCTTTTAGAGACTGAGTGCAACCCAAAACCCACTTAATTTATTGCCGGGTGGCAAGTTGGTGTGGCCCACTGGGGGGCGTGGCTATGGTGGTCATGGCAGGGTGGGTGGGTGTGGCCAAGGTGGGCGTGGTCACCTCGATGTTGCTCGTGGGGAGGGACGTCTGTGGGGGCAGGGTTGGGGAGATCCAGGGGGTCTCTGGCAGGTGGGGCAGTGGGCAGGAGGCTCGTCCTGTGGGATGAGGCGAGGCAAGGCGAGGCAGGGGGGGGTGCCATTGTCACAGGGCAAGGCGAGGCAGGGGCCGGGGTGGTTGCTGCTTGACACCGTCAGCCCTCGCACACAGAGGCCAGCGAGCAGCGCATGGGGGCCGACAGTGTCTGTCAGCAGCCACAGCCTGTCAGCCCCTCGACCAGTGCACTGTGGGGCTCTGCAGCCCATTGCAAGCAGTTCAGAGAAGCCGCCTCTGAGCTGGATGGACGGCTGACAGCTGAGGAGGCGATGCAGTGGGTCGTGCCCAGGAAAAGGAGAGCATACGAGGTCAAGAGGGATGGGACAGGGGGGAGGGAAACCAGCCGTGCTGGGATGCATCCGGCCATGTGGGACCTCGGTGAGTTAGCGGGCAGCTGGTTGAAGAGGGACGGTTGCCATCCACAGGGCATGGCGCACATGCCCACAGAGAGGGCTCTGAATGCCGCCTCTGATACACGTGCCACAGGTTCGCCACCACTGAACTAGATGCTTGTCTGTTTGGATCTTTTTATTATTTTAAAATTGTTGTTAATGTATTTGGACAAATCACAATTAAATCAAGGAAAACACAACAATGAGTTTAAAATAAGAAGAGTCATTGAGAATCAGGTAGTATACACATTTGATTAAAAATTACATACACATACACACAAACATAAGATGAACATGCACACATCTACCCGCTGCAAAATTCTGGATTTCCCCAAGTCTATTAATACCAACGCTTATTTATGGGTGTTCTCATTTTGCCCTTGTAAAGCTTTGGAGAATTTAGAGATTTTTTACTTTCGGGAGTTTGACCTGAAAATCTCTTTGTTTTGGATTGGGCGTTTTTAATAGTTACATTCTTCTCGTGTTTTTCTATCATACATCCTTTCAATCCCATCCCTTCCTTTCTTGAATAGACACACACATTTCCATGACTTTTGCTCTTGATGTTTTATTTTACACTATGTCATCTGCCACGGTTAAATGTTTTGGCATATTTTTAACTTGTTTCTGTCTAACATAATATAGAAACTTTGCCCACAGTGTTGAAAAAATACAGCTGTGTTTTCTGGAAAGCAAGGGAACGTGCAGGCCAGCTACTTATGTACTTAGATGGAAGTCATATTTTGTTAATATAGAAGAAGCCACATTCAGAAACAGACCTTTATGTGCTGGCAACCCGTCAGATGTGTTGACATTATAATCTTCAGTATTTCACAGCTTGGGTGCCAGTTAGGATTTTGGGATTTGAAGCCCTAAAGCAGTTGGAGGGCCATAATTTGGAGAAAGCAGCCTAGCTGATTTTGGGAATGTCTGATCAAGTATGATATCAGGTTAAGTGCTAAGTTAGAAGAATTTATGTTTTGGAAACTCAGATATCAGTGCCCAATATTATGTGTAGTTAGCCAAGGTTTTTCATCATATACATAGTATAGGTCATGACTAAAAAGTGGTGGTAGTTGGGTTATATATGAAGCAAAGGAACATAGCATGCTTGAAAATTCCAGGCTCTTGTCAAATTCAGGGTGGAACGATACTACAGGTAGTTCTCGAGTTACGACTAAAATGGAGCTTGCCCATCATGGTTGTAACTCATGATGATTATAAATTGGATCTCCAATATGAGCATCCTGTTTTTATGACCTTTTTTGCTGTGGTTGTTATGTGAATGCTGTGGTCATTAAGCAAACCAAAATCACTATGGGGTGATTACTGCAGGTTACTTCTGCTGACTGCCGGCTACCAGCAGTTTGGCAGTTCGAGACTCACCAACTCAAGGTTGACTCAATCTTCCATCCTTCCGAGTTCGGTAAAATGAGGATCCAAATTGTTGTGAGCAATATGCTTAGAGAGGGCTGTAAAGCACTGTGAAGCGATATATAAGTCTAAGTGCTATTGCTATTTTGCCAAGTCCCAGTGACCATGGGATGCTGCAAACAGCCATAAATTCGACCTGGTTACTGAGCATCTGAAGTGCGGTCATGTTACAGGAGGGGAAGTGGCTGTTGGAACTTTGAATCTAGGTTGCAAGTACCCCCAGGGAGGTCCATCGTAACTTTGAATGATCGCTAAGTGAACTGTTGAAGGTTGAGGATTATCTGAACCATAACATGCTAGAAAGTTCCAAACTTGTGTGAAATACAAGGTGGAACTATAGGCATATACTTCTTAATTCCAAATTAATTGAGTCAGTGGTTGTGTTTACTCATAATGCTATATAGGTATTATGGCTTGTGGAATAAGCTGCTGTGACCTGGTTTGTATTGAAAACTAAGTCATAATCGGTGGCTTCACAGTGTATAATCAGAAATTAATCAGAATATAGGTGAACAGTTTTCAAAAGTAATAAATACAGTAATAAGATATAGTAACTTCGCAAACACTCCTTATAGTCTAGGTCTAGCTTCACATTGGCTTATCCTATCTCATAATAGCTATTAAGATCTTGAGGAAAGGCCTTGAGTGGTATAGATTGTTTTGGAGATGGTGCATTGTTAATTATACATTAGGATTTTTTTTTTTAATGTGAGCCACTTGGAGCTTTATTTAAGACCAGGCGGAATTAAATATGTCTTTTGAAACAAATGCAGAGCGGAAGAACTATCAGGATATAAGTGGAGCAAGTAGAAAAGGTGTCTTTGACACTAAGTGGTGTTTAATTTCCAATGATGTTCATTCTTGCCTAGAAGTTACAATTTTTTGAATTGGATCTCTCCCCACCCCCCACCTGATAAATACTAAGCATGTTTCAACTAGTTGGGCTTCCTCAGTGACATGAGAATGTCATTTTGCACTTTCCAGAAAGCACTCTTCTCTTGTGTCAGAGAGATTCTTAACCACTGAAAAAGATCAAGCCCAGCATTATTTTTTTCCTCCTGATTGTACTTTCTCATTATAAAGCCCTGTGACCACTTGTCTGAAAAATTACTTTTGTAATTGTCTCGTGATCACCATCTATACTGAAGACGTTTTATTCATGAGAATTAGTGGCTCTATCAAATCATTGAAGGTACTAGAATAGGAACAATGAATGTAAAGTATACAAAGATTTGTTGCTTTCAAATTTGCTACGATTTTTTATGAAGAATCTGTCTTTAATTTCTTGTAATCCCAAATAATGTTTCTGCCCTCTTTAGGATGCTTGCTGGAGCTCCCCGTGATGTGGCTGTCAAAATGGATAATAAAACACGGACAGGTGCTATGTATGCTTGTCCTTTGACTGCAGATCCCAGTGATTGTACACAGGTGGACTTTCAGGTGAAAAGTATGTAAATGTGCAAATGGAGAACTTACCTGAAGTAGGGTGCAATGCTCTATTTAAAACAATGCAAGCTAATGATTAGTGGGGTTATACCAAAATATGAAATATCTTTAGAAAGGATAGGCTTGTTTTATTTTGTTACACAAAGTAATAAAGAGCCTTGTGGAACTTTTAAGACCAACATCAATCCATAGTAGCTGTAGCATGATTGACTTCAAATTCATTCTGCTTTCGATTTTGTTTCCAGTACTTATGTTTCTTGCAGTTATGAAACTGGGCTTCCCTTAATATAAGAAAGACTGAGGAAAATTAATTCTAAAGGACTGATTTGGGGTTTGAAATTTGGCAGGAAGGTGGCTTATCACCATCTTTTAAAATACAACAAATGATATCTTATTCCCATATCCTATTTCTTATCTGTAAGCAAATCCTTAAAGCCTCATCAATTCAGTCCAGAAGTAAGCAAAATCTATTAAGAATTACCTGTGATAACAACATGACTGTTTTAGCCTTGATCAAATGAACAATTTTATAAATCTTTCTTTTATTTCTAACAGTATTTATTTTAGTCCCTTCAAATAATATCTTAGCACTTGATTTCCTTTCATTTTTCTTTGACTTTTCTCACCAAATTCTTCAAAGCTTTACAAGCCTCTTTGGTAACTCTAATATAGGAAAATTATCCAGATCACTCTCTTGGTTTGTTATTTGTATATCCCTTTTAATTATTAAGACATCAACCAGTTTACTTTTGTATATCTGGTGTAACATCTTTTCCCATGTCATTCTTATGGCCTGTCTTTAAATTCACTTTCAAATAAGTCTCAATCTTGTCAGTTAAAACTTGTTTCTCTTCCTTAACATCTTATAAGCACAATCTATCTACATTGGCAGAAAATCGTAAAATTAACTTCTTAAAATACCCTTCAAAATGTTAGAATATTTTACTTCATTTTGTATTTGTAAATTGAATTCCAGTGTTCTTCTTTAATTGTATTCTTTACTTCTAGTTCCCTCTAGTGTCCAATTTTTAATCTTATAGTTTTTTTTATTCAAAACAAAAGCATTTTCCTATAGGAAAGATTCTTATAATTCCCACATTTATTTCAAATTTAGTCCAAGTGTAGCTTTCTAAAATCAGTCCTTTAAATTATCTACATATGAATTTTTTAATCATCCTTTTGCTGTTTATTAAATAATATTTTAAGTGCTTACACTTGTATTTAAAAGTTCTTTAAGTAAGGATTGAAGGAAACTCACCCAATACTGTAAAACCTGTTGATGCAAACATTAGCTGAAAAGCAGCAAATAAACAATTTCCAAAAGTGATTAGAAGGAAATATGCAAACCAAAGTGACCTTTGATAAATTATTAAAATTGTTTATACTTGTGATAAAGGTAGAAGTAATTTCTTTATATATTTCTTTTCATTTCTTTCCTATATTATTTTTTTCTTTTCTACTCTATTTTTTTTTTTTGCATCTATTTTTTTCTTTCTATACTTTTATGCTTTTAGTTTGTATTGGTTTTTATTATTCAACTGTGATGTTTAATAAAATCAATATAAAAAAGGGAATATGGCAAGAAGGTGGATCCTTTTCTAATCATATTTTTCCTTTGGGGGTTTTGTTTTTGTTTTCGTTCCCTGTACTTTTAGGTGATCTGCAAACTAATATTGTTGAAGACATGTGGCTGGGGGTGGTGGTAGCAAGCCAACGTAAGCCTTATGGGCGAATAATGGTGAGTATAAAATATGTGAGAGGAGATGATTTCTGCTGCTTTTGAATCCTCCCTTCTGCCTTAAAGTTATCTATTGAGCTAATGATGTGAATCGGGGAGAATCAGTGGTGTGGGAAACTGGACCAAAAATATTATAAGCTGTCCAGTTTTCCTATGCTTTCTTGCTGTTTATCCCATGTGCTGCTATAATGCCATACCATTTGCTCCATAACTACCTCAGAACTCTGATGAGGAAAACCTTTGGAATTTTAATAGAGGCTTGCTGGATCTAACCAAAAGGTTTCCTTTGTGAACAGAGAACTTTGTTTTCTTATGCTTAGATTCCCCTTCTACCTGCCCTATGCAAGTATGAGGCTATCCTTGAAGTTGATTTAAAAGTTGCAGTTGGTTCAAAATACAGCAGGCAAATTGCTGACGGGAGAAGTTAGGTTCAGCAATGTGACAGCTATGTTGAGGTTGCTGCTTTGGCTACCGATAGGTTTCCAGGGCCAACTCAAAGTGCTGACTTTAATTTTTAAAGCCATACATGACTTGGAACCCATGTGTTTGCAGAATAGTCTTTTTCAATCAGAACCCACCTGCCCTGTGCTTTCATCCCAAGAATGCCTACAATAGGTTCCTATCACAATGTGGTGAAAATAGGATTCCATAAGTGTACCTTCTTAGTAGCAGTCTCCACAATATGGAATATTTATTCCTGAGATAAAGAAAACCTGATACTATTTAGGGACCAAAACTGAGAACTTCTAGGGTAAGTATTCTAAGCCAGTCAAGAGAAGAACCCTTGCTAGGCCTAAGGCAAGCTATCTGAGTTCTGAGCTTGTCTTAGATAATCTGAGGCCCTTTCAAGAAAATACAAAAAAGTAATCTAAGCAGTCCAACATTAATAGTATTATACTAGCATGTTATCTGACCTTGACCTGTGTTTTTTTATGAAGGTATTTCAAGACCAGTAACAAATATATTTAATTAGCAAAGATGAATAGATGAAAATAAGAATGCTCCTACCTAAGTCCATGATGTGGTGCTCAAGCGAGTCAGAATGCAAGTTTGTCCTATCAACTTAGGGATAAGGTGTCAAATTCCATTCATATAAGTGAGGAAATTTACCTTAGAGGACTACCTGTTTTGTCTCTTCTTACAGTATCACAGAAGTACCTGTCATCGTTAAAAATATTCTCCAGACAGGCGCACCGTTCTTGGCTTATCCTTGCCTTTTCTCCCACATGTAAACCACCTCCACTTCTACCTTCTAGGCAATAACAGCCCTTGACTGTTCTGATCCTCTGTCATATCAGCACATTTAAATCTTTCAAAAACATTTTCAGGAGGAATTAGCAGAAATTCAAGAAACAGCTCTGGGCAGGGAAAGCAAGATGGTCTTGGTGAACAAGCTGCGGATACCACTTGGGCCAGTTGTTTCCATGTAACAGAAGAAGTCATCTGCGTGATTCCTTTGCAGGGAGTTGAGCTTTCTCAGGAAACTTGCATAATTGCTCTTCCCTTCCTTTCCCTTTCTTCCCTGTTGCTATTCAGTGGGTATAGCTGATGCTTGAAGTTGTTTGTGTAGAAGGATTTCTAGGACTTTCAAATCACAGTTTGAACAAAGTTCAACAAAATTAACAGTGGATAATCTCTTTGTGTCATTTATTCCTATAGAAAAGCTTAATATAATGTTATGGTTATCTCAAGTTTGATTATGATTTGGATTCAGTTCCACCCCATATGAATGAGAATTTCCAAGCCAGAAGGCTTTTCCCCTCCAAAGCCATGATATGAATTAGGATACCGTAAAAATCCAAGCATTGTGATTTTTAAACTCCGGTTTAATACTTAAGAAGTACAAAGTCAGATATAGTTAACAAATTTAAAAATATGTGTTATGGTAGGCTGTGTAAACCATATAGAGTGTCTTTCACAGAACCTGGAATTCCTTAGTCTCTTTCACTTCGGACTAAAATCTTGCTTAATTTTATTTTTCAAGGCTTGTGCTCACCGGTACACTCGGATTTTTGGCAGTGAACATCAGAGACGCATGGTAGGGACATGCTATATCCATAGCAATGACTTGCGCCATCAGGTGAATGATTCGTGGCAAACTTATAATGAGATGTGTGCTGCCAACTCAGACTTGGAGAATACAGGCATGTGCCAAATGGGCATCAGTGGTGGCTTCACAGACAACTTCGTCTATTTTGGAGCTCCAGGAGCTTACCATTGGCAAGGTTTGTGGCTTTAATAGCTTATTCCCTACTTTGTTTTACACCTTTCACATGTGTCAGTCTCTAATAATAATAATAATGATGATGATGATGATGATGATGATGATGATGATGATGATGATGATGATGATGATGATGATGATGATGTTGGAAGGGACCTTGGAGGTCATCTAGTGCAACCCCCTGCTCAGGCAGGAAACCTATACCATTTCAGACAAATGGCTGTCCAGTCTCTTCTTAAAAACTTCCAGTGTTGGAGCATTCACTGCTTCTGGAGGCAGGTTGCTCCACTGATTAATTGTTCTAACTGTCAGGAAGTTTCTCCTTAGTTCTAGGTTGCTTCTCTCCTTGATTAGTTTCCATCCGTTGCTTCTTGTCCTGCCTTCAGGTGCCTTGGAAAATAGCTTGACTCCCTCTTCTTTGTGGCAGCCCCTGAGATATTGGAATACTGCTATCATGTCCCCCCTCGTCCTTCTCTTCATTAAACTAGACATACCCAATTCCAGCAGCCTTTCCTTATATGCTTTAGCCTCCAGTCCCCTAATCATCTTTGTTGCTCTTCTCTGTACTCTTTCTAGAGTCTCAACATCTTTTTTACATCATGGTGACCAAAACTGGATACAGTATTCCAAGTGTGGCCTTACCAAGGCATTGTAAAGTGGTATTAATACTTCACGTGATCTTGATTCTATCCCTCTGTTAATGCAGCCCAGCACTGTGTTGGCCTTTTTGGCAGCTGCAGCACACTGCTGGCTCATATTTAAGTGATTGTCCACTAGGACTCCAAGGTCCCTCTCACAGTTACTACATTGAGCAAGGTACCCCCTATACTATACCTGTACATTTGGTTTTTCTTGCCTAAATGTAGAACCTTACTTTTTTCACCACTGAATTTCATTTTGCTAGATAGCACCCAGTGTTGACGTCTGTCCAGATCCTCCTGTATCCTAAGCCTGTCTTCTGGAGTGTTGGCTATTCCTGCCAGCTTGGTGTCGTCTGCAAATTTGATGATTTCCCCATCTATCCCCTTGTCCAGATCATTGATGAAGATGTTGAAGAGCACTGGGCCCAGAACAGCCCTGGGGCATCCCACTACACACTTCCCTCCATGTAGATGCAGTTCCATTGAGGACCACATTGGTTAACTCTTCTTGCCTATCTTAACTTGCATTTCTATTCTGTTTTTTATGGCACTATTTTTGGTAGGTTGGTCTGTTTTTCCCTTTGTGTAAAGACAGATGCAAAAAACAAATTAAATAGTTCCGCTTTCTCCCTGTTGCTTGTCACCTTCTTGCCACTTTCCCCCACTAATGGACCAATCATTTCCTTCACTTTTTTCTTGTTTTTTACATGTTGAAAGAAGCTTTTTTTGTTATTTTTGACTTTGGTCGCAAGCCTTAGTTCATTTTGAGCCTTAGCTTTCCTCACTTCATCTTTGCAGGCTCGGGCTATTTGTTGATATTCTGACTTAGTTATGTGCCCCTCTTTCCACTTTCTATACTAGTCCTTTTTATCTTTTAATTTATCAGAGAGTTCTTTATGCAGCCATGCTGGTTTCTTAGTTTTAGGGCATTATTTAGTTAGAATAAATTCTGATATGAGCTAATGATTAATCAACCAAGTATTGTTGTTGTTGTTGCTGCTGTTGCTATAAATGAATGGACTAAGATGCTTAAAATTAAATATATTTGCTTGAAAAAAGGGAGGGAACTAACCACAGTCAACTGTCTTCTGAATAAGCATTGACTGAAATGTTGATTTTTTCACCTGTTCCAAGATAATTTGCTAAAACAGCTCTGCATGTAAGGACTTCTTTCATGTGCCATCTTTCACATCCTTTTCCTTTTTCTTCCTCACAGCCAGTTGGTCGAGGGAGAAAAAGAGGCAGAAAAAAGTGGAGACTGAGATAAAGTCATTCTGACCATTAGTGACTACATTTTGTTTGTATCACTTTGAATTCCCCAACCATTTTTTTCGGCTAGAAAAGTGGAAAAGACAGAAGAAGATTGTCTCCTTTACACATTTAGAAAATGACTGAACGTCAACTGCAACTTATGGAAATTGATTAAGTGTAGAAGATTCTGATTCTGATAGTCATATTGTCCAAGCATAGCCCAGATAATCACCCCCTCTGCCTTTTGCTTTCAGTGCAATCCCTTTCTTTCTTGATCTCAGCTTTCTGCCTCTTCATTTCATTTCCCATTTTTTTCAGTTTGTTCCCTTTTATATCAGCTGAACTTTCTTTCCTACTATCTCTGGTTCTTACTTCTGAATCATCTCTTCCTCCCCCTCCTCCTCCTCCTCCTCCTCCCCCTTCATAAATCTCACAATCCTTATTCTCTCTGTATTCCAGCAAAAAGCAGTTGAGAGAGAAGAGTTTGATTATCACTGTCTCAGAGTAATGCAGGAATTCAAAATAATGCTGAATTGTTCAGGCCTTTTCTGGTGTTTGAAAATGGAAATATTGAAAGAAGTATTTTTCTTGTCCATCTCCTTGCGTATACAGGGAGTATACATGACAATTGTTCAACACAACATGAAAGCATTCTCCACTGTTTGGAGCATATCTGCTAAGGATCTGTGTTTGTGTGAGTGTGAGAATGTGTAAGTACCATTGGGGAAGACATCACTCCGCCTTTGCTTTTAACACCTAAAAACCCTCAGCCCCTCATGTCTCTTCACAAAGCCGAGACAGAAGCTTTTAATCACACTTCTCTGATGTGACTGAGAGGTGAGAGCCTGGGAAGAAAGGAAACAATATTTTCAAACAGCATTAAAAGGTATAGTGGCTGTTGATTTGTATTTTATCAGAATGCTAAAGATTGTATGCACTTTTTTTTTTTTTTACACAGGAACCACTTATGTGAGCTACCCAGGAATTTGGGACCAAGTGGAATTATCCTATCTAGATCAGAAAACTAGACACATTTACCTGGGTAATTGCACTCAACTCTCACTTTGTCAGGCTGAAAATATGATTTAGTGCAATGGAGTGCCTCCCTCTCCTGCACTTCATTTTTATTTTCTTTATTTATTGGATTTGTTAAGGCTCCAAAAAGACTCTCTCTATATATATCCAATATGTATCCAACTGAAACAACATAACTGCCCAGACAAAACAACAGCAATGAAATTCATAAAGACAGTGGCTCCACAGAGACTCTAATCCCAGGCTTGAGAGCACCGCCAGGGCTTGATGGAGATGAGAGCCATATGTATCCTGGGGAGAGGGAGGAGGGATATTGTTCCAGAGAGCAGTAGCTATGACACAGAAAGCATGCTTCCTGGGTCCCATCAGACGTGAACATGTAATTGACAAGAACACACTGGACTAAAAAAAGAAATCCCAGAAATAATTTGTGATATGTAGTATCATATGTAGTATCTTCACAGCCAATGTCACTCAGCGTGCTGAACATAGATAGCACAATTTAAATACATGACGGGCCACACATGCTTAACATCAATTCATTTTTAAGCCCTGGCTGATTCCCTGAATAGAAAGGCCTTCGGAGAAGAAGCAAATTTCGTATAGGTCAAAACTTAATAGCTTCCTTTCTGACGATCACTGGGATATTCAAGATGGAGATTTATTAATTAAGACATCTCATTTGAAACTGGCTTTGATCACTGGGTCTGCGCCTTACTCAGACTAGAGAATTAAGAGGTCAAGAAGGATTAAAGTGGAGAGCTTTCCCCATAAAAAGGTCTAGTTGTCACCAGGCTTTGCTTTAGAATCAGAGACTGATGTGCAGGACAATATTATGGTCAGGTTCAGTAGATTTAGGATGTAAATAGATTAATATAGTTCTTGGCCAAACAAGAAAAATATAATTAATATTTTCAGAAAAGCCAAACCCAGAATGAAATCATGATTATATTTACTTATGTAATTAAAGCTTTTCTACTCTCCTTTTTTATAATTAAAAACAATTGCTTAATTTTGGAATAACTCAATAGGCCATCATTAGATTACATCTTTTTTCAATGGCTTACTCTAAAAGGGGAATTATAATTAGTGGAAGATTGCTTAATTTGCATGCACTTCACAAGCAAAGATTATGAATACTTCCAAGAAGCTTGTTCATTCCTAAGTCTATGCACTTGAAAATAGAATGATCTAAATCTGACCAGTGAGTGTAAATTGATTGATTAATTTGTGCTGGAGCCTATCTTGCACCAAGTGAGTTGCTCCAAGTCTCTTCTCCATTAAACACTGCTATTTTTTGGGACCTCAGAAGTGTGCCTTTTCTGTTGTGGCCCCTGGTGCTCTGAATCAGCATCCCCCAAAAGATAAGGACGGCACCCTCTTTCTAGGGTTCTGGCAGTTCTGAAAACTTGGCTTTGGCCCAGTCCTGGGATTGATGTCTATGTTTTGTTTACGGCTCCTGTTTGTTGATTTTGTTGTTAATCAGATTATTTTAGTTGGGTCTGTCTATCTGATTTTATGTTTATAACTGTTTTTATGCTAGTTAAATATGCTGCCTAGAATCCACAAATAAATAAAAGTGAGGCAATTTCTCTCTCTTTCTCTTTCTCTTTCTCTCTCTCTCTCTCTTTTGAAGAAGAGAGATCAAAGATATAACATGTTTGTTATTTCACGTTAATAGGATATGCCACAGAAGCAAGCACCAATGTACTGCACAAAGAAGAGTTCTCTTTTATTATTGGGGCCCCCCGCTATAATCACACTGGAGCCGTCTTTGTGATGGCAAGTGATGGTCACAAAACTCTTCAGAAGAGACTGCTGCTCTTTGGGAAGCAAGTGGGTTCTTATTTTGGCAGCTCCATTGCTGTGGCTGACCTCAACAGTGATGGGTGAGTCAATGGGAGGGAGAACTTGAAAGAAATATTAAATGGATTTTTTTATATATAGGCAAAAATGACTCCTCTGCCTTTCCCCATTAATAGGTGGCAGGACTTAATCATTGGAGCACCACACTACTTTGACCCGAAGGAGGAGAAGGGTGGGTCTGTCTATGTCTACATGAACCTTGGGGGAGCATTTTCCAGCCATCCCAACCTCACACTGACTGGACCCAGTGGTTCTTCCTTTGGTTTCTCTGTGGCTCACATTGGCGACATTAACAAAGATGATTTCCAAGGTTAGAATTGTTTGCTCTTATCCCAGTATTATGTTTTACTATTTACTGAGGCACATCTTGCTGGACCGTATCCTTTCTTATGGCCTAAAGCAATGTTTGTGGGGAAATTGCCAGTCAAGTAAGGAAGAAATATCAAGTGGGGAATTAGCTTTGAGTCAATGTACAGCCATGAGAGACTTACACAATCTCCCCTAAGTTCCATGGAACTTTATCTGTTTATCTCCAAGGGAAGGCAAGCAGTCTGGAAGAATCTAGTATTATAGGTAGAACACAATAAAATAGACAACTATTAGAATTTCAAGGACAGGTTGTAAATTCTGCTCATTCGGTGCAATTTATAAATTTGAACAGTGTCACAGAATGTAGTCTGGAATGGAAGGAGGGAAGGACTCATTCCCAGAGGATAAAGAGACTGAACTTGGAATGTTTGGTAGGCAGAAAGAGGGCAAAGCCAGACCCTCCGTAGCAGGTCACAGAGTATATCTATAATTATGCAGATAATTGCTTTAGTCTGGCAAGACTCTGTCTGTAGGCAAGTAACTTTACATATCATTCTTGATTCTTTGGGCCTGAAAAAACTGAATGAAAGCTCATTAAATAAGGGCCATCTGAACTATACATCTGATATCAGGAAAAGAGAAATAAATTCCTTTCATAGCTATAGTTCAACCACACACACACACATTGATTTTGTCTTAATTGTCGAGAATCTATATTGCCCACCTACAATCACTTCCTCAGCAGAATTCCTTCAAGCTTTCTTTTGAATAATGACTGAACTATTATAAGGGCTAAACAAAAGATTCCTTGTTAGATTTTTGACTAGTGATGGGAAGCAATACAATTACTCGTTTTGAAAAGTTATGTTAAAGTACGTTTGATACAATTCCAGTGGGAACCTAAAAAGAAACCTATCTAGATGAAGTATAATGAGAACTGTAAGATCTCATAAAAATTGAAGTTCTCTCCTTTGTACTCTTCCCTTTCAGATATTGCTATTGGGGCACCCTATGAAGGTTCCGGGAAAATATACATCTACCAGAGTGGTGTAGGTGGCCTTCCTAATAAGCCACAGCAGGTAAAGGCATCTTTATCATCTTATCACTTTATCATCCTTATCTCTTTGGGTGAAGCATATTTCTAAGATTATGTGTGGCACCTCCCCATATTGTTCAATCAGTGACAGGAAAGACCACAATGGGTAGGTTAATAATCTTGTTGGATTGAAGTAATTGTAGCCTCCTTTTTTATTTTTTGGGAAAGTCTTCAGTTTTCTAGCATGTTAAACTTAGCCAAGATTTAGCACACCAACTGGTCACCCTTGATAATGACCAAATTTCTCTAATCTCAAGCAGATACAAGATAAGATACCAAGTTTTCTGCAAGTATCTCCACTTTGAGACTTAGAGAAGCAGCTAGTTGTCCCTCATTTTCAGGAGATCAGAGAGCTGAAGCCCCAGATTCTTGTTTTTAATTATGGTGTCAGCCTTTTCCGGTTAAGATTTCTTTGCCTCCAATTTATAAGATATTTTTATATACATTACAGTCCCAGAACTCCTCTCCAGTTAGATCAATATATTGTAATGATGTTAATAGTAGTCCTACTGCTCATTCAAATATGCTTGGCCACCAACATCTTCATCATGGATGGCAGTATATACAAACCAAGCAGAGATCTTGGTCTCATTTGTAAATATCCTTCTTGCCTCTCATTTTCTGCACCTCTTGCAGATCATTAGTGGGGAAGATTTTAATCCTGTCATCAAGACCTTTGGTTACTCCTTCAGTGGTGGAATGGATGTGGATGGAAATTCCTATCCTGATCTCCTGGTGGGAACTCTCTCAGAAAATATCTTGCTGCTCAGGTAAGTGTGGTAAAAGAGGTTAAAAGCTGTCATGTTTTTTTTTCCTATTTATTGATTCTGATTAATAAAAAGGGGAATCTTTTTTAAGAAGAAGGAAATTCCAATCTCTCTGTTGGGGCAGTCTTTCCAGCCTGCTGTCCTCAGCTATTTGTGGTCTGATGGATTGATGAATATGGAAGTCAATGTGCCACTCATCTAGGGAGCATCATTTTGAGGAAGACTGTATTGTCAATTACCCTGATTCAAAAGGGAATCATGTCCTGGGGAAGAGAACAAATGATCACATGTAACAGTACATTTTCTTTACTACCGAGTAATTGAAATCACCATCATGATTAGGGATCATTTATTTTATTTATGCACTACATCTGCACCATATTGATTCTTTTTTGGGCTTCTGCTGTAAATCATGATTAACTGAAGATGCCTCTGCAAATGAGCAGAAATAACAGCTATTGCATAGGATGAAAGAACAGCCATAGATTGGTCCTTCGAAGCTCTCTGGAGAAGGAGAGAAGGAGAGATTCCTCACAAATGTTCTGAAGGCCAGCTCATTGCTAGGAGACTGTAAAACAATGGTCTCTACGGGTTTGAGTGCCAGAAGCTGAGGGAGATGACATCTTTGCTCTCAGCCACAGGGGAGCCTTTAATAGGAACACTAAACCAGCCAATCTCGTGTTTTAATCAATTTTAGAAATGTTCAATTTAAGCACTTTATGGATATTAGAGACTTTGAGAACGGCAAGCTTAATTTGATACCTGGTGAGTTTAACCTTCTCTGAAATTAAGAAATTTTAAACAAGACTTAAGAATTTAAAATGATATACATATGGCAAAAAATAAAAAAAACGGAGGGGGGATTTTAATTTAAGAACTTTTTTAACAGATTGTAATACCAGATGTTTGGAATATAGGTTATTTCTGTTGTGAGGTTTGAAAACAAATATACTGTATAATTAAATAATTTACTGAAGCAGAACCAAACCTGTATCAGAACTGAGGCTTGATGAAAGTTGCAAATGGACACTACAGGGAATTAAAAAACCAGGCGGAAAAGAAATAAAATGGCTAAACTGGCAATAACTTTGTCCTATCTTAAAGATATTTTTGATGGCTAACCACTGTGATATTAATCATTAAAACCTCAAAAAGTATACAAATCTCAGTGGGTATTTTTTTTAACAAGATGTTGAGAATTTTTTAAAAGGCTTTACCTGACATAGACATTATTGAGTTTGAAGGCAAGGATGATAACAAAATTGAGATAACCAAAATGGAAATACAAAAGACAAAACCAGAAAAGATTTTGAACAGGAAACAGCTACCACAAGGAGTTCTGGACAGTGCCTTTTTATGGGATTTACAGGCTAGCTGGTGAAAGCTTTGAAAACTCCTCTTGAATGTCAAAAATTGATGAAAGATCAAATCCTGCAATGCCATTAAATGTGGAATGTTTTAAAGTTCAAGATTGAAGAACAGAAAGAAGGGATATACAGTAAAATTAGACTATTAGATCAGGAATAAATTATTTGTTTGATATTTCTGGTACTTCCTAATGAACTTTTTGCTGAATCAGGATTGAAAAGGTGACAATTTCTGGATTATGTATAGATAAAAGTTATGTTATGGAGGTAAGAGGGGTTTATTTTTATTTGGAACTTTAAAAGTGAGTAAAAAGTTATTATATTAGTTTATGTTTGATATGGTGAAAGTTGGAAACTACTTCTTCATTTTTGTTTTGTTTTTCTTTTCTTTTTCTGCACCTTCTGAACTTTTTCTTTTATTCTAATTAATTTGTATTAGTTTTTATGTTTATTAAAAACTTTAATTAAAAATGTATTGATTCTTTGCACTGTTGTTTTTCCTTATGCCTATCGTCTTTGCCTTTCTGCAGAGCCCGTCCTGTGATCAATATCCTAAACAAGACTTTTACTGTTACTCCAAGCCCTCTGGACCCAAGTAAATGTACTCAAAACTCTTGGTAATAACATTCCTATAAATTTTCTTTTCATTTTTATATGCCTGAATACACAGATATTCAAGGTGTGTGGCAACACAAATATGATACAACTGAGTATATTTAGCCTACAGAAAGAAGATGAAAGGGCAGCATGTTGCCAACTTTCAGTTTATTTTAGAGGATGTTGGAAAGAATTAGGAGAACAATTGTTTGCCCTCCCCACCAAGTGCAGGGAGGAGAAACAAGAGTATTTATACAAAATGTGGTGAGATTCAAGTTAAGTTTGAATGAGAAAAACATCTGGCAAACAGAGTAAAAGGCCACATTGGAACAAGCTGTATGGGGACATTGCTGAGTCCTTTCTCTTGTTTGTTTGTTTTTAAGAGTAGAAGTTGAATAAGAGACTTGTAGATTTGCTTTTACAACAGGGCATCCTGTCCCATAGAAGATAGAGGACTTGATAAGATGCACATTATTTCAGGTTTTAAGCCAGCTGAGGGAATTTTAACCCTGCAGATGTGATTCATTTCGCTCTTTCAATAGTTCTATCCAGCATGCCATTAGTTTGCGAGTTGGCATCCTTCAATATCTGGAAGTGTTAGGCATTTGTAATTTCTAAACTAGGACTTAGTTTAAGGGTGATGTGGTTTATTAATGTTGATTTTGTCAACATCTATTTTTCCAACTTTAAATTCATGATGGTTCCTTTTTGTTTTGGTTAGCAATTTTTCCTCAAATAAGTCATTGCAGAGATGGCACATATAAAATCGTATCCAACTTGTCAGTCTGCCTTATGCACTGAACACATTTCTTAGCTTTTCTTAAGTCAGTTTCTAAGAATATATGAAGTAGCACTGAATCAAAATGAAAATATATTGTTAAGGGTGTGAAAACATGAACAAAAGGGGCATCTGTTCTCTAAAGTGGATTGTCATAGCATTATATACACATAACATTTCCCTCTTTAGTTAATTATAATTATTTGCTAAAATTAGCCTTTCCTAACCTGGTATTGTCCAGAAGCTGATGACTAGGAATTCTGAGAATCACAGTGTAGGTACATCTCCTGGGCACCAAATTGGAAAAGCTCCTTTATAGAGTGCCAATTCTGTAAATAAATAAGATGAAATTGTCCTTGACCAAAATAGACAGAACCGCAGCTTTGACAATTTTCAGATTCAAAGCAGATGAGAGAGAGAAGGAGATCTTCCTTTTGCATGAAGAAGCAACTTTTTCCTCTTCTCTTCACAAGAACTGATTTTTCAAAGAAAAACATCTGAAACATCATTCCTTGCTGCAGACAAAACAGGGCAATCCATCTAAATTCTAAAAGTTTGGCACTGGTTAATTACCAGATAAAGGACATCCTAATATAAGTCAAGTGCTATTGCTTTAGTTTTGATATGCCTTTGTTGTATGGTGTAACTTTAAATTTAGGATGATGTGTTTCTTTATAAAAGCAAGGCATTTGGGCTTTGGGCTTTGTTTGGAGGAACCTCAGCTATCTGTCCCTGCCGATTCTTTATTGAGCACATTGTTTTTATTTCTTTCTCCTTTCCCTTCTTATCATCTCATTTACAGCATGAAGGTAGAGGTCTGCTTCTCCTATTCCCAAAGTGCTGGAGACCCCAAATACAAGGAAACTATCAGTGAGTAAAAATGGGAAGATTTGTTCCATTTAGGAGAATCCATTTGTGAAGAAAGAGGCTTGGGGGACTCGTTCATTGCCAATGTCTGCTGGCCCTGGAATTTTTATCCTTAATGTATGAGAGCCAGTTTCTCTACCAGTATCTTTAGTGGCATATTTGTTTTTTGTTGCATTCCCTTGATTCAAATTAAGTAGGATTGTTCTTGTACAAATATTCCTCACCTAGCAGCTACAATTGGAACTGGCACCTCCATTGCTAAGTGGTGTGGTGAAGTGAAATGTCACATGACTTTGCCAACGTATAACATCCGTTCCAGTTGCAGTTATTAAATCACCATAACTGTAATGTCACATGACCATGACTTATGATTTCATGCTGGCTGCTTCATTGATTTTGCTTGCCAAGCATCTATTTGCGATCTGAGACTGCAGGGAAGCTATGATGGCTAAAACTTCAAGAACCTGTCATAAGTTTCATTTTTCAGTGCCATCATAACTTTGAACAATTGCTGAATGGATCTAGGATCTAGGCTGCTGGATCTTGGTAATGTTTCTGATCCATTTTTTTTCTTGGCTACAGAGCTGGATTACACTGTGGAAGCTGACAGGGGCCGCCGGCCACCCCGGGTATATTTTGCTGAGACCAACTCTGCAGTCTACAAGGGACAATTTTCCATGCCAAGCAAGTGCCAAAACCTGAAAGTCCTCCTACAGGTTAGGAATAATTCAATTCAAGGCATAAAATGGGATAGCTGAGCTAAACACCATCTTCCTAGAGAGTTTAAGTTTGGTTGTTTGTATTTATGCAGGACCAGCAGTATAGGATTTTTTTAAATGTAAATTGGTGCTACCAAGGACTGCTAAATATAGACTAGTGATGTAATTACAGTATTATAAATGATAAGAACAGAATTTTTGCCTAGAAAAATTGGGGAGGTTTTGTAAAATTGATAAATATGTGTGTAAAGCAGTTATCTTTCATGGCTTCTTGGATGTATAATAGCAACATTGGTTGAAATTCTGGATAGTTATATTTCACTTGGCTGGTGAAAAGCTTCTCTAACCATCGTATCGGTTGAACTTACAGAGAGGGGAGGATAATTTAGCATGATAAGCTTCATTATATTTCAACAAAAGAATGCCAAGAACAAAGAGGAAAGTTTCATCAAAATAAAATGTGATGTTGAAGTATCATTTTTGCCAGAGGACCTTCTTCGTGTCCCTTCATAAACTACACAGAAGTTCAGAACTGAGGGCTCTCTGAAATAATTTATTGCTCATTTTGCAGGATGGAGTACGAGACAAACTGCACCCCATTGCGTTCTCTATGAAGTACTCTCTTTCAGAGAAGCCTAGACGATTCCAGTTGGGATTGCGCTCTCTTAATGCATTTCCTATTTTGAATGAGGATCAGCCTCGTGAAAACCACACTGAGGTTAGTTCCTTCTTCTCTTTAGTTTTTCCTCCCATTCTTTTCACCTTTCCTCTCCTCGATTGAAATGGCCATGTAGATTGCACAATAATGTTGCATTGTTCAGCTAATAGTCAGTGGCAGGCTTTTGCAAAAAGCAAACAGGTGATGTGTGTGTGTAGGAAGAGTTTGTGTGCATGTCCCTGCACTTATTCATGCAGATGAAAATTATTTGTAAATAGGCATATTCAGTTTTCTGTATCACTGAATGGTTCACCTACCAAGCAGTCCTCTGGCACCATCTGGTGGAACAGATTAGTCATTATCTTTAAATTTTAGAATAAGTTTCATTCTAGAAAAAAAGTTTTACACACTTTTAACTAGATTGAACCTAAACTGTGTCTAGAGTATGTGTATAAATATAATGTGATAATTTCAGCATCAGTTACCCTTAATCACCTTAATATAATTCTTTTGGTTAACTGAACCAAATTTAGGGAGTTGCATTTTTAGACATTGGTGGAAATCCACCTACAACAACCCATAAAAGTCCTAGACTTGGCTGTTGCTTCTTTTTTTGGGGGGGGGGGGAACTCCTGGAAAAACCAGAGCTAAATAGATTGGCTCAAGAAGGTTACACATAAAAGGAGGTTGGAGACAGTGACTATAAAAAAGTAGACTTATTGAGAGGAGAGATCATAAACAATGCCCATTAACTCAGCAGTCTGTGAGGCCTTTCTATCTGACTCAAAATCTCTTCTCTTTGTATCATAATAAACAGACTTTTAAAAGCTTTCTTTGTCCCAAAAGTCTAACTGAGGAGTAAGTGGTGAAACATTTTTAGATGTTCACACTTGGGAAGAACAAAGAGTTTATTCTGTGTATCATATTTATTGATTGATTGATTGATTTCTACAGCCACCCATCTCCGAAATGACTCTGGGTGATTTACAGTTCAAATATTCAATCTTGCCCTTGGAAACACCCTCTACAGAAGATGATTTTTCAACTGGACTTAGGATTGATCCTCCCTACATACAGAACCCTTCTTCTAAAAGTCTTCCTTCCCATTCTAATGCATTCCAGTTTACCTTTTAAAATAGCTTGCTCTGGCCATGCTTCTTGAAGGCGGCATGAATTGCGGTCCAGTGCTTCTGGAGAGCATCAGGTCAGAGAAAGTTGACATACACAATGCAAGCCTACAAACTAAATGAACATCCTTCCCCTGTTTTTTGTCTTATTTTGTTGACTCAAAATGTCTATTTTCAGATTCAGTTTCAGAAGGAGTGTGGAACTGACAGCCAATGCAATAGCAACTTGCAGATTCAGGCACTCTTTCTAAATGAAAAGAACCAAAAGTTGCCCAGGTGAGAGAATTTGGCTTATTGCGGGAAGAGAAAGAGGAAGAGCATGTGAAATGACTAATCATTATAATACAGAGTTATGCTACACATATGTTTAAATAAGAGGAAATACTGACTTTGGAAATAATCGTACATTTGGGATGAATTCTGTCTACTTTTGAATGCTTTCTGCATTATCGTCATCATGATCACCGTCACTAAAGGAAGACTCTTTCTTGAGAGCTTCCTTTCAGGCCAATAAATAGCTCCTAGATGATGTATCTGCAGAATTTTTAAAAAATCACTGGGTAAAATCATGATTAATGCATGCTACTGTTATCGTTCAGGGAGAGGACCTGCCCTAGAACCCGTCTACTGGCTGACCTAAATAAGTGAAGTTTCATCATCAGACAGTTAGAACATTGCACAGTTCTGGAAGCATTTCAGTAGAAATTGTCTCTCACCTTGGGGCAGAAGCACACAGTGAATGAGTTCCCACTCTTGCTCTAAGGCAGGATAAGTCAGTTGGTCTAACCTAGGAGTTTTGGGTGATGATTTCAAAGAATCCCAATGTTCCCTGGAAATTATGAAGTTTATAGTTCTAAATCTTTGGGGAGTACCAAATTATCCATTGTTGTCCTAGCCACTTTTGACCAAAGTTAAGGACTGAATGGAGGGACATACATGCTTTTTTTTCCTTTATCATCTTCCCTCAATTGTACTATTTTTTTCCATTGTAGACAAGATGGTGTGCAGGTGTTACAGTACAGCTCGGAAGTCAAGAAACTGAATTTGAGCATCAAAGTTACTAATAAACCAACATCACCTATCAATGGAGAAGATGCTCATGAGGCCCTCCTCAATATCACTTTCCCACCCTCTCTGCTGCCTTCTTCAGTTCGGCCGGTGAGATATTTTTTGAAAGTTGGGATAGCATTAAGCTATTGTTCCATTCAGCTCTGCGCTTAGCGGCTTTTCAGAAAAAAATTACAAGTTCTAATAGAGGAAAATACATGTAACCTAAGGTTGAACTGTGGAGTCCTTGGTACTCTCTCACCAGAGGCGTAGCGTGGGGGCTGCAGGGGGGGCCGGCCGCACCAGGCGCAACATCTGGGGGGGCGCGCTCGCACTCGCAGCTCTCTGCCCCTGCCTGTGCGAATCCGATCTGAGCCGCCGGGTCGCCGCCCACTGTGGAGGGGGGGGCGCAAATTACTTGCCTTGCCCCGGGTGCTGACAACCCACGCTACGCCACTGTCTCTCACACAAATTTACTGGTGTTGCATGAAGTGGTGTTTTTCTTTATTAATTCCTGGGTAGAAGCCTTTCTAACAAATCGGAATAATATTCTTCAGGATTCATGATCTCCACTTACTATGCAGATGATGCTAGTGACTTTCCTGAAGGTTAACAAGTATTGCCATGGTTGAATTGTATCAACTAAGTGAACAGACTAAGATCTGTCAAAAGCTTTAAAAGGGAATGCAACATTTTTATGCAGTAAAGCTATATCAAAAATCTCAGAAAAAGGGAGCAGGACAATAATGAAATGGGAATCTAAAAACAAGAGTAAGATTCAGTGTTGTAACAAGACTTAAGTGTTATCATACATCTGAACTGAGAAATGTAGTGGATTAAAGAAACAATAAGGGTTTCTTAATGAGGAAAGGAATCCACCATAGCAAATAACTGGAAAAATATAAAGAAGAAAGAAAGACCCTGAGAGAGATGACAGAGTTTGAAATTCTTATATAGAATCAAGATAATCAATTAGGATGTATTTATAAACTTTTACTTAAAAAAGACCCGGAGCTAGAACAAATAACAAACTGCATGATAAAGTGGCTGCAAAATTTCAAAGAAGTAATAATTGTGAAACAATTGTGGCAAGAATTGGGGGGGGGGGGGAATCAATGAAATTTCCAACATGCTACAGTTTAAGGGAAAATTGGTATAAAATAGTCTACAGGTGATATATAAATTTGTCAATTATTGCCAAGATAGATAAATCATACAAAATAAATTTTAAAAGCCATAACAAATAGATGGTAATTATGTAGAAAGACCCAAAAGTACTGTAAAAATACATTAAAAAATTCAAAAAATTTTGAAAATAAAATTTGGATTAAAACCCAAATATTTTTATTAGATGTGATCCCAGAGAAAAAATGAAATCTTTTCAGTTTATTAAATACATGCTGACAATGGCAAGAGTTAATGCAGCACAAAATTGGTAGAGAGAAATCTTGCCATCCTTGCAGGATCAGGAGACTGAAGTTTAAAAATATGCAGCAGTGGAAAATTTTTACTGTATGTATTCATAATAGAAGTCTAACCAATTAACAGTTGGGATTTTAAAAAACACATTTTTGTATGTTTTTTCTTAGTGCATTTTTTTCTTTATATTTTTGCATGTTTTGCCTTTTTGAAATTGTTTCTAAAAAATCTTTTTATGACCATCATTTTCATTTCAGTCTTTGAATTTCTGTAAAGTTCATATTGTATATGTATATCAACACATTCTTTTCCTTTTCCTTTCCTTTTTTTTGTTTGGTTTATTTAATTGATAAAAAATATGTCAGCAAAGGTTTTTTTTTCTTCCTGTAATATATTGAATCTGAGGGATGTTGGGGCTACATCAGAATTCTTATAGCCATATCTAGGCCCTGGGCTGTGCTTAAAACTTACTTTGTTTCATAATTGCTTAAGAACCAATTCATTTCTAGTGGAATTGCAAATGGAGAAAGCATGGGAGCCAAAACACATTCTTCCATGTCTATGTATGTATGTATGCATGCGTTTATATAAACGCATGCATATATAGACATGGAAGAATGTGTTTTGGCTCCCATGCTTTCTCCATTTGCAGTGTGTGTGTGTGTGTGTGTGTGTGTGTGTGTGTATGTATATGTATGCATGTATACCGTATATATGAGTTATACATAAGTAAAATAAAGGTAGTCAGACAATGAAGTGCATCTTTTATTCCTTTCAGAGTGGGGCCTGCACTGTTAAGGAGACAGTGATATGTGAAATGGGCAATCCCTTCAAAAGGAACCAGCAGGTATATTGTTTCTGATTTGGACACTTTACAAAGTCTCTGTTGTGTGGGTCTCATCTATAGGGTGTTTTCCTGATTGCTCAGGACCATCTTATCCCCTTCAGCCATAAGGTTTTAAAAAAAATAGCAAGCATCAACAGCAGTATTTTTTAAATTATTGAGATTATTCACTAGATTAAATATACATCCTAGTTTTAACACAAATTCTTAGCATTGAAAGAATTACTGTAATAGCTATTGGTGAATGTTGGTAATGTGGAATAATGATGCCAATAAAAGATCTTTCTTGCCACAGATGTTTGTGTAGTTAATAGGGCAGTCTAGTGAACCTCAGATTACAAACTTGAGTAAAATATGTCATCCAAACCTTAACAAAATATTGCACAATCTGACTTCTCTTCCAGGCAGAACTGATTATCACATTTGAAATTAGTGGAATTACCTTATTTACCCAGAATATCACAGTCCAGATTCAACCTTCCACGTGAGTCTTGTCCTCTTATCAATAGTTATCAGGGATGACTAAGATAGTTTCTCTCTCTAAAACAGCTTGCACCTACACACACACACACACACACACACACCAAACCTGCCTCCAGTGAAACCAGATGGATCAGCATATACCTAAGAGAAGAAAGTCACAAAGGATCACACCACTTAGAATGTTACTCATATTAAAGATGGGGGAAAACTTATACATTACAACTTTATTATGAAGATTAACAGTAGGAAGGAGGAATGTTCTATATTTATATTTTCAGGTAGGCTGTTGCTATTATGCTTTATTTTGCTTAAGCAAAACCAACAAAGTATATATTTAACTATAGTTTACCTGTACTTTTTACTTGTAGTTTAAGTGGTGCAATCCACTCTATTTTCTCAGGTCTGTAAATGATGTTTAACTGCATATGTGGGACAGATAGGCTTTCGTGGCAGAAACTAAGTAGTCTATAACTATGAACCATGCCTGCTGTAATATTGGATTATTCTAATATATAAAGTTCATAGGAGAACCACACTAGTACTTTTTTAACTTCTTGTATTGCACTAGGTAGTACAAAAAATAGCAACACTAGTATCAATTGATGGGAAGAGGAACCACTGTGTGGACTCCTCTCAAACTTCTAAGATAATTAGATTCAGACCTCTAGGATAATTTACAGTGATGACAAAATGTAATAATGGTTTATGTTCTTTGGGGTAATTTTAAAAATAATCTGATAGACCTTTTGACTATTGTATTTTGTACAGGATAAGCTATCAGGAAGATCTCCAACTAGTGACAGCAGCTTTGTTAGTGGACTACACAGTTGATGCATCACTAAGCATGTGCGTATCTTAAAGTGTTGACATAAGTTAAGAAAGGAAAATTATAGAAAGGGGGTTCTATGCCAAAATTTGATGGCTCCCAATTTATGTCTACCTTCATAAAGAAAACCTAGCCTTTGAGTATAGCTGGGCTTCTAGGCTACTCTTCCTCAACATGGTGTTCTCCAGATGTATCACAGTTGGAGCCTTCAGACTTCTCAGCTAAAATGGTCAAAGGCCAGAAATCCAGAAGGTTCCAATCCTAATATGTTTGGAGGAAAGAATAAGAATAAGACAATAGAATAGAATAGAATAGAATAGAATAGAATAGAATAGAATAGAATAGAATAGAATAGAATAGAATAACAGTTGGAAGGGACCTTGGAGGTCTTCTAGTCCAACCCCCTGCTCAGGCAGGAAACCCTAAACCATTTCAGACAAATTGTTGTCAAATCTCTTCTTAAAAACTTCCAGTTTTCACAACTTCTGGAGGCAAGTCGTTCCATTGGTTAATTGTTCTGACTGTCAGGAAATTTCTTCTTAGTTTTGGTTGCTTCTCTCCTTGATTAGTTTCCATCCATTGTTTCTTATATTGCCCTCAGGTGCTTTGGAGAATAGCTTGACAGTTCCCAGGAAACTATGGACTAATCATTTAGCTTGTTAAAAAAAACCTAAGCGTGGTAAATCTCTCTTGCAACTTTTCAATTTTTTCACGGTAGAATCAACCGGTGGCTTCAGTCATACTTTAGTGGGAAAGTCATAGGAGAATCAGCCATGAAGCATGAAGAAGATGTTGGCAGTCCCATTGAGCTGGACTTCCAGGTAAGTATCTGCTGTGATCATTAAGCAAATCCATTCATTTTAATGGACATTTTCTTCCAGAAACTGGCAAAAAATGCCAACCTACCCCCCCAAAAAAACCTATGAATCACTCTCAGTCATGTGACCAGGGAACACCACAGCTGGTCTGCGAGATGGACGTTACTGAATGTGATTCATGATGTTTTTTATGGGTCTGGGGCATTTTTTGCCAGTTACTGTAAGAAAATGACCGTTAAAATGAATGGATTTTATGGAAGCACCCATTTCATGGCTGTTGTAACTTCCAACAGTTGTAAAACAACATGTTGTTAAGCGAGGACCACTTTTAGTCAGTACTCCATTTGGATAGATTTTCTTGATTAGGATCCCATCATGACAAAGTTAGACAAGGATTTATGACTTCAAATTGTCCAATACTTATTTATTTACCATAAGCTCCACCTATGGTGTTCAGAAGCTTAAGCAATGATTGGTCCCTGCCTATTTCAATCAGACCTTAAATTGCATCCTTTGTTTCCATAGCTGTGCCTTTTTTTAATTTAAACTTAGTAGCCCAATATCCAACCTTTGTTCCTTCTCATCTGGGTTTAGGAGCAAACAATGGCTAAGTCTAATTATCTAATAGAAACAAGTAAAAACTCTCTCTCAAACCAGGCTACTGAAAAAGAAGACTTGAAGAGAGGATCAGGAATAGATGTTTGAAAGAACTTGTGGATTTCATTTTTGTATGGATCACAGAAAGTTGTGTGTGAGAGAAAGAGGGAGATGATGAGAGAGAGAGGGAGAGGGAGAGATAGAGAGAGAAAGGAGAATGACTGAAAATTCCCCTTCATTTATAGTTAAAATTCTGACCCCTTTCCCTTATTCTTGTTTGAAGGTGTGAGAATAAAGAATAACCTTTTTCTTAAGCTATTCTTCCTTCCTGCTGTTATATAAATTACCAATATATGTAATCAAGTGAAGCCAACATTCTTAGCTTTATTATAGAATGGAAAATGTCAAGGATGGACTTTCTTTTATGGCTGTAATTATACAGATATTAAATATAAAATCTACAAAACTAGACTCAGGAGACTACAGTTTTTAATGAAGAGTATTATGGCATAGGAGTGTTTAACCCCATTCCTTTTTGTCACTTTTCTAGTCACAACATATTTTAACTCTTAAGCAGACTTTGTTCAGAAATTGCTACCTCTTGGGCTCATTTTCATCTGATGAGCAAGTCAATGGAAAGATGGATGCAAGTTCACTGCAATTTTCAGCCTAATCATGAAGAGTTTCCAACAATTTTCCAAATTGAATTTTGAAAAGGATTATCAATATGTTATTAATATCTTTGTTGTTATTTGTTTAAGGTGATTACGAAGACTAAGTCTTTAGCTTCTCTTGGAACAATCATATTAGGCTTTGAATGGCCTTATGAAGCCAGCAATGGAAAGTGGCTGCTCTACCCCACTGAAATCTTGATAAAAGGGAATGAAGACTGGTATTGTGAACCATCTGAACAGGTCATCAACCCCCTCAAGCTCATCGTGAGTCTAGGGTTTATTCCCAGCCTCTTCACCTTTTTGCTCTATCCCCGGTTAATATAAATATGTATATTTTGATATCAACCCCTTGCTCGCCCATTCTAGGAATATCAGTATCTGATTCATGTATAGATACTAGGTTTACTTTGAGTAGTGTGCTTTGTGAGGATTGCATTTCCCAGAATTCCTTGCTAGTAGTGCCAACAAGTGGGCCTTCTTAAAGTTGCATTCTCAAGATATTTTGAAAATGAAGATTCTTGATTAGCTGTCTTATTTGGCTTTGTGTGAATTTGGTACAATGTTTCAAACATAAGATAGCTTATTATTAAAATTGTTATATACCTAATTTGTTTCTCAAGTGAAATTAACAGAATTGCAATTAATGAACTTTTTCTGGTATGCTTAATGTTACAGCATACGATATTAGCAAAAAAAAAAAAAAGTGTCCAACAGTAACAAGACTCCCGATTCCTACAAGATGAAGAATCATCCCCTGGTTATGAGGCACCTCAGTGGGGGCAAGTAGTTTTACACTTCTTGATGTTCATGGACAGAATAACAGCTAATATTTCTTCCTTTTCAGCAAATAGATCACAGCACTTCCCCAGCCCGGAGAAAGCGTGAGTTGCAGGCATCTCCAAACGCTGAGATTCCCATCACCTTAGCGTCTTCAAAGAAAGCCAGATCAGAAACAGCACTGGTAACCATTTCATTAAGATATCCTTTCTGTTCTTAATAAGAATTCCTTCATCATGAGCCTCTCTAGGCCAGCCGATATTGCTCTGTATCAATGTTTCTCAACCTTGGTAATTTTAAGATGTGTTGATTTCAATTTCCAGAATTCTGGGGGTTGACATCCACATATCTTAAAGTTGCTGAGGTTGAGGTACACTGCTTTATACTGTCCCAAACTGATATTAGTAGCATCTACCCTTTTGAATGGCTGTTTGGGAGTGGTGGATAAGGGCAAATTGTGTATCTGTTTTGGGTAAAAAGATAAAATTATCCTCAAATCAAGCAGTTCACAATAACTAAATGAATATGCCCTTGTATTTTTCTTAGCAAAATTCTGAATGAAAATTTTGCTTTCATCCAGAAACCTTTTTGACTTAGAAACAATGTCATAGGAATTGGATCTAGATATTATTTTTTACCACTGAAACTATGTCCATTTATATTTCAAAGAACCCATAGATTAATCCCAATCCTCCCAAATTGTAAGAGTAGGGATGCACAATTTCATTGGCTTTAAGGACAATAACTCACTCTCCTGAATATTTAGCAAACTGTAGCACGCCTTTTGGTGTCCCTGAAAGGAGCCAGATAGAACTATTTCAATCTGTATCTTAATTTTGAGAAGGGTTACGGGTAGGAGTAATAATGGTTTCCATTCTTACCTTTTTAAAAATATTTTGACACAAAATGGCAATAACATTAATATGTCATTTTATTGACAAATTTCTGCTTTTTTTTTTCAATTCGAAAGAGGAATTGGATCAGGTTTCTTGGACCTCTTATTCCTACTTATATTTTTGCCATGTTTTTTTTAATGCCAGCATTATACCCCTGAAATGTTGCTATCAAAAGTTGGTACTGGAAGCTTGAGAGGTTTTGGGAATATGATACGATATGACCCTGCTTGTTTTAAAATGCCATTTAAAAGAAAGAAATGAAAAATGCGTGCGACTGTATATTATACCAAACGCCCTTTGAATGACTCACCAGTGACGGTTTCCCCTGCCTTGTTCCATATTTTCTTTCCAGAGTTGTTTCAAAGGAACTTCTCGCTGCATCTGGTTTGAATGCCCCCTTTGGAATATCGGAGCAGTTACAAACGTGAAGGTCCGAGCAAGAGTTTGGAACAGTACTTTCATTGAGGTAAGTGCCGTTTATCTCTTCTGCTCCCATTTAGTAGCATGTTGCTTGTACTGATGTGCTAGAGGCAAATGATTTTCTTTTTTCTTTTCCTTTTCTTTTTGCAATCATAGACTGCTGCAAATTAGTCTGGCAGCTAAGAATCACTAAGGCACTAATATAATAATGGTGCCAAAGGGGGCAAGATTTTATTCCCCCCCCCCCCGTGGTGGCTGGATTTATTTATTTATTTCACAGATTAATTGGGCTTATTGTCTACTATACACAGGCATACATTTCAGAGTCAAATGTATAGATAAACAGAAGTTACTGCTTTGGTTCTTACAGGATTACAATGACTTTGATCGTGTCAAAGTAGATGGACAAGTGACTCTCTTTCTCAGGACAAACTCCTCTACAATCAACATGAAAAATCAAACAGTGTTGGTGAGTAAAAAGATGAAGTAACTCCAAGAAATCACCAAGATCTTTCTAATTCCAGTTTTCACACTCCAGGCCTGGCCCATCCAGTTAATGAAATGATTCAAGTGCTTTGGGCTAGCTCTTCATTTACCTTCTGCAGTAGCTTTTTTATTACAGCTAAGCCAAATAGCTCTTAGAGTAGCTCACTATCCAATTTTACTTTTTTTGTGGTGATTTCTCATACTACGCAAAACCAATCTGACTGGTTAGTTTATAGTTCAATATATTCTATGATTCCAGAAAATAGGTTAAACAGTGCTTGCCATGTAAAACTACCCAGTAGAACCAATTCACAATAAATCACACCGAGGGTCCCATCAAAGTGATGTTGAAAAGGTTGCTGGCCAGTCAGAGAGGAATGAAAGTATGCATGGAAGGAAACGACATGGATTGAGGTGGAGGTGTGGCAGATCCTTTTGCCATGGCCCACTGCTCTCTTCCTCCAGAATTATCAGATTCTAGCAATATTCCTGGAATTTATTTTCAAGGCTGATTCTGGCCTAGTCCTGCCATGCTTTTGCAGATTGATGAAATCATTTGACAAACAATTGAGACATCCTTGGAAGGTTGGAAGGAGAGTCCGTTGAACCTTGTCCTCTTCCTTTGTTAGGGTGAGCTATTTGTCAAGTTCCCTCAGAGTATGACACAAAACCATGCGCAACCTTGCAGCCTTGTAACCTGGTAATCTACATTTGGAAAGAGAACAACCATTTTACCATGCTTTCATGAAACTCTTTAGTTTAGTGTAGTTTACTTCATGCTCATTCACTCGGTCCCTTGACCTGGCTTAAAGATGCCCTATTTACCATTTTTGAAAGCTTTCACTCAAAATAAGAGCTGCATTCTCATTTGCAGCCTGCAGGAGAGGCAGGCTGTAGATGATCCAAGATGGTCTGTGGATGGAAGTCGCATTTTTCCTGGGAAAAGAAACAAAATCTCCCTTACAGATATCCTAGGTTGCATGAAGGAAGAATCTTCAGAAATGGGTGGTCTATGGACATCCAGGTGGGCCAGCGCATGACTACCCTTTCTCATCCAGCTGCTCTGGGCTTCCACAGCCATTTGTGCTTTGACTTCCAGGGAGAGAAGAACATTACCGAAAATTTAACCCAATCCATCTCAGTTCACCTGTGGAGGTCAAATGTGTATTCTACTTCTGCCCACCCTTGTTAAGTACAAGAAATGTCTCCATGCTTAAAATAATATAGGTAGTCCTCACCGTGGTCATATAAGGCATGCTAAATTACTGTGCCGATTATCCTAGATGCCCTTGTTAGGCGAATCCTGCATCATTGCAATGTCCCATTGTTATGTGATTGCCATTTGTGATCTCCTGTTGGCATGCCCATTGACTTTGTTTGTTGGAAGCTGGCAGGGAAGGTTGCAATTGACCATGAGATGCTGTAATTGCAAGCTGAGTGCCCAAATTACAATTCCTTGACTGCGAGGACATGGTGATGGCCGTAACTATGTGGACCTGCTGTAAGTGCCCCATGTTCAGTGCCATCATAACTTTAAATGGTGGCTGAATGTATGGATATTAAATCTGAACCTACCTGTAATGATAAGTATAATGGTAAGCAAGTCAAGAAATTATGCTGGATTGCTCCAAGGAGTATTGCTGTTTCCCTGTGAAGGGAAGGTTGCCATTTAAGTTGACAAAATAAGTTGGATAAAATAACAGCAACAATTATTATTTTCTTTTTACATGGAATGCAATTCAGGAAGATATGTGCTGCCCTTCCCTCCCCCCCTCCCCACCCCTGTAAAAGACCATGATGATAGTAACCTCTCTTCATAGTTCCCAGAACAGTTTCATGTCAACTCTCTTCCCACATCACAGTTCCCTCTTTTCTCTCTCTGCCCTTTGCCCTCATCCCACTCTGATCAATTACAGCAATTGGTGAATACATGCCTGCCTGCAATCTATTGAAACTAGTGATGGCAATGAGAAGCTTCGTTGCTACTATTGTTTCTCTCTCTGCAAGTAGACCTATCACTCTGCTGAAAGTAACCAGCATTACTTTCTACAAGGGCAGTAACAGTTTTGGTGTCATTAGTGTTAGGGCGGATTCTTTTTTTATTGACCTACTTTCCTTCTGTCTAAACAACATGGATGTGTAGGTGCAGTTTTAGTGAGATATTAGCATGTTCGATGCTTTTTAATTTGTTTCCAAAAGGAGTGAGAACACTCCTTTTGGATTATGTTCCTCATCTCCCATCTCAGCATCTGTGCATTTAGTTGAAGGTCTGGAAGGTGATTGTAGAATTATAAAGGTAATTAGAAGTCCTGCTTTTTGGATTTTTGGGAAATAGATAATACGAACGGTAATTAAGAATAAATATGTGTATCCGATGGATTGAATTATATCAATGGGAGTGTGCTAATAGCCTTGTATTGATGTTCCTTTGTTTTTCTCCACTGGAATAGCTCTGAGCATGCTGTTCTTCAAAACCAACTTTGCATTTATCCTGTTTTTTTTTCTCTGCAAAGACCTGTCCTGTTTCTTGTTTCTTCGCCCTAATTTCAGTTTACTGTAGACATCGACTCGGAACTCAGTGAAGAGCAGCAAACCGAGATTGAGCTGTGGGTGGTGCTAGTTGCTGTTGCTGCAGGACTTCTGCTCTTGGGTTGTATCATCTTACTGCTGTGGAAGGTAAAAAAATGAAGCCTTAAATAGTGGTCAGGGACAATCCCGCTTCTCCCCCCCCCCCCAACTCAACCTAGATAAAAAGACCTTTGAAAGTCGCTGGTTCAAAGTTGCAAATAGTTGTTAATGGCTTGTGCCTACATGATGCAAAGGAACAAACCAACCCACACAGTCCAACTGATTGTAACAATTCTGAATATCCAAGCAATATGATGAAAGTACATATAAAATTGTTTTCTTTGATAATGAATACACCGGTCTCACCTGGTAACAAAATGTTTGCGTATTTGGCTGCAGTAAAACTGGCCAGGCTAGTTCCAAATGGGCAGGTGCAAAGTAACTTTGTCTCTCCAACTTTCTCCAGAATGACGTAAACTGCACTGAGTCACCTCTGGTATGTAGCTCAAACACATTACTCTGGAGATCAGCCAAAGAACAAACAAACAAACCAACCAAAAAGGCTCTGCTGGGCATTTGATTCGCTCTTTTTTACCATAAGGAATCTGGCTAGATAGCTAAGAAACTATATTTAGATTCTAATTAGTGCAGGAATTGGGTAAATGCTTGGGACTCCATAGTATTGATGCCTTAGGATAACATAGCAATATCAGTCAGTTATCCTTTTCTGTCCAGTGACTCATTGTGATTTCGTAGGCACACTTGTGGGCTTCTGAGGTACTAATAGAGCATTCTGCATAGTGTACATTACTAAAGCTTTAGGAAAACCTCTGCCTGATCCCTATTTCTGGAACCCATCATCAGACTAGAGAGTCTTAAGTATTCAGAAGCTCTGAGATGATTGTGACAGGGCTACACTTCCAAAATGCATTCCTGCATTAGGCAACCTGATGATTTTCAGATTAAAGTTCTTATGGTCCCTTGCCATGTCATTGGGATATGAGAATTGAAGTCCAGACCATACAGAAGGCATGAGATGGCTTATTCCTTGCTTATCTCCATAAGTTTAGCCAAGGAAAGTTTATCTCTGAATTGCAACCATCATAACTATTAGGTTTTTGCAAAGCTTTGAAGGGGTATGTTTTCAGACATACCCTTGCTTAGAGCAAGGTACCCTTTCAGAATTTTATTTGGGAGGCAAAGTGTCCTCCACTTCTAATGAGCACATTTACATATTTCCCTCTGGCTTTTCTGGTGAGCTGTTGCTAGTGCTGGAGAGAGCCCAGAAGAAACCCAAAGTGCCAAAGCATGCCACCGCTATATTTCAGTAGGATTAACAGCATTTCCTCTCTGGTATGAAGCACTTTGACAAATCCTTAAGAGTAATGGGCCGTTGGTTCGCTGGGGCATTTTCTAGTAATTATTTTTGAAGCTGTTGCTATGGGACTTGCCTCAGACAAGTCAAAACTGCAATAGAAGGTTTTTACTTTTAGGGATTCATTTCATCTTACCTTATAGTGCCTGGAGTGAAAGAATGAAACAAGCTTTCTCCAGTGCACACACTGAAATTGATCATTATTGGACCATAATCTGGATACTTGAGTTGTGTTTTATATTTCCTACCCCCATCAACCCTGACCTTTGCCCCCTGCTTCCTCATAGTGTGGCTTCTTCCGGAGGGCAAGCACACGAGCCTTGTATGAAGCCAAGGGCCAGAAAGCCATGATGAAGATCCAGCCTTCTGAAACTAAACGGCTGACCGACAGCTACTAGTTCCTGTCTCGGGGGGGACACTGCCCACCCCTTTACCCTGTATCTTGGTAAATGATTGTGGGTTGGTTGGATGGGTGGGGCAAGATCTGCCTTTCATTCCTTGTGTTCCTGCACTTTTGAAACTTTCCCTGCACTTCTTCATTCTTGCTTCTAGATTGGTAATTTTAGTGTTGAGTTAGAGAATGTAGAGGATTGATACAGCTGGCCACAGGTGATTGCCTTATTTTGGTGGATGGTTCATCTCATTCAGGATTATATACACTGACTAGGAATGGTTCTCCACAGTCCCTGGCAGGGAAGTAGCGCATTACCTGCTACTTAAAAAAAAAGCATCCTAATGCTGACAACAGGAAGAGATAATTAACACTCTATTAATCCATTTTACCATGTTCCACAACATGGCTGTCTAGAGAATGTCAGAGTAGCTCCAAACAGTCTCAAATCTGATTTAACTTAAAGCCAATCCATTCTAATTGTACCACTAACATGATTTACCTGAACTGCCAAGTATGCTAATCCTGTCCTTAGTCTAGCTAAGCATTTGCAAATACAGCTATTGCAGCGGTTCTCAACCTATGGGTCGCGACCCCATTTGGGGTCGATCGACCATTTCACGGGGGTTGCCAAGCAAGGCTGTCCGCCATTTTTTTCCCCTTTTCCGGCGGGTGCCTTACCTCCCTTGAGCTGGGCCAGCTGGTGGTCGGCCTGCTCCGTCTCTGCCGCTTGCCAGCTACGCCTTGGCCGGCGCAGGGGGCGGAACTATGCATGCGCAGCTCTCCCGGGCAGGGAAAGTCCTCGACTTACGACCGGTTTAGTCCTCGACTTACGACCGGTTTAGTCCTCGACTTACGACCGGTTTAGTCCCCGACTTACGACCAGTTGGGGGTCGCGGCATTAAAAAGGTTGAGAACCACTGAGCTATTGTAAAGCCTGATCTGGAGATTTGGCTCTAATCTAATAAAATGGGGTAAGTGTTCAGACTTTAGAGTTCAATTTAGATGTGAAAAAATCTATTTGTATGAAATATCAACCTCTGAGATTGGACACAAGTACTAGAAGCCTTTCATCGGTCAACAAAGAAGTGCTTTCTGCCTGCTCATCTCAGGTTGACAAACTTAAGGATGCTAAACTGAAGGATCTGAGTTTAGGTGATCTGACCCTGACACTTTCCTATCTCTTTATTAGAGGCTCTTTCTGCTGAAACACCATATTCTAAAACTCAGCCTGCCTGTTCTACTTAGCAGCTATGCAGCATCTCTGTCTTCAGTTACTCTCAAAGCAGATTCTTCTCAACATATTTCATACTCTGCACTAGATTTAGAGCAGCTTCTCTTTTTATCTGTTTGCATTACTAATTCAAACTTCTTTTCCTAGGAATTACCAAGTACTTTGAGGGTGGCTTTCAAGATGGCACTTTAAATAACGACATGTATCTTTTCTTTTTGTTTTGACTCTGTTTTGTTTTCACTTCCTGGGCCAATACAAGTGACCATTGTTGGGATGGGTTAAGCCAACGCAGCAAAGTAATACTGATAAGGTGGTCAGCCCTGTTGAAATACACTGGTGCAGACTGGGAAACCCATCTGTAGACATAGTTTCATTCATGTGGAAAAGAAAGGGGAGAAAAAAAGGAGAAATAATATTGCAAAATAATGGTCCTTTTTTTTACTATTTAGATTTCAGTCTTGTCTTCTAACTATAGATTACTTCTGTGGGAATTTAACTTTCATCAGAAAAAATATTAGCAACTCCATGGTAACTCATGATATATTGGCCATTTTCACTGTACAGTATTGCCAGTATCAAGGTTTACAGATTGTTGAACCATTTAATCTGATCTTGCTTCAGCATACTTCCAGTGAGAGTCACCATGAGAAACAACAGCTCCCACAAAATGTGAAGCACAGGAGGTATCCATCTGACATGGTTGCTGAGAATGTGGATGATTGAAGATATAGAAAGGGTTGCAAAGGAAGGTGGTAATTGTTTTGCTTCCTATGGATGAGCTAAATCCTCAAAATGGAATACAAAGTGGAAAGTTTAGTTGCAAACCTGAAGAACCTGGCAGAATCACATTTGTAGGTTGAATGCAGTATTCAGAGTTTAATTTTACTGTAGTGGTTGGGATCATCCTTGAAAGTCTGTGCCCTGTGCAAAATTATTTTGAATATTTTTTTAAGGAAAGATGCCTCAGACAATAGTCAGGAATGCCTACCCACCACCCATATCTGACAAATTCTACATCCATTGAAAAAATAGCTTCCAGCCAGGCAGTAATTTCTAAAATGACCTGTGCTAAGATTAAAGCTTGGCATCCAGCATCTAGGCTATATACTGCACTATATACTATTTAGAGCTATTGTGACTTAGCACTGAATTGCAGATGTTTCCCTGTTGCTATTTCAGCATCACAGCTAGCAGAGGTTTGTCATAGGAACAGAACAAATGGACTTTCAGCAGAGTAGACACCCCCTCCCCATTTTAAAAATAAAAAGCAAGATGTCATAAAATGTAGTGAGGGAAGGTGCTCACAATACATTTTCTTTTGTATGGTGTGCAGTATAGAGATAGCATTGGTTGTGCTTGTCAATCCATTGTGGAACCAATTATAATATCCTCAGCAGGAGGTGGAAGTTGACAGTGGTTCCCCTCCTTTCTTCATTGTTAGTCCCAGTTAATGTTGATGGGGAGGGGAGATTGAGACTGCAGCCTCTTATCTGTCTTAGTACTGTATTTCTTCTTGGTACTGTATTTATACCCCGTTTCTTTCACATCTGCATTAAGCCACTAGTTTATACATTGGCTCAGGATCAGGTTTCACCAGTTTATCAATAATATCCAATTGTATATTTTAATCCCAGTAGACCAAGTGATGCTTTTGAGGTCCCAGTCTAGAGGTTGTACAGGTCCGTAGATGGAAAAACTCAATTCTGCTGAGACTGGCTGTGGATACTTTCCCAACCCCAGTTCTAGGGTCTTACATCTTTAGTCTTCCCCAGTAAAAACCTGCCTCCAATCTGGGGTTTATTTTGGGACTTAGTTGCTTCTAAAAGAGCAAGTGGCAATTGTGGCCACAATTCATCTAGTGTGTTAGTAGCACCTGTTCCTGGATTGGGAGGCCTGTCAAGCAATTACTCATGTCCTAATTAACTCACAGTGGATTACTGCAGTGTGCTGTACATGTGACTGCCTTTGAAGACCATTCAGAAACTACAACTGGTTCAGAATGCAATGCTGCAGGAGTGATGGGCATGCCATGTTGTGCCCATGTGATGCCATTATTTTGCAACCTGCACTGGTTACTAGTTTTAGTTATGATCTATAAAGCCCTTTATAACTTAAGACTTGGCTATTTGGAGAACCACTTATCTCTGATTGTCTCTGATTGACTGGTGAGATTAGACATTATAGGTATGCTTCAGGTACAGTTCCCACTATGATAATATTCGAAAAGTCATTCAAGACTTGGCAATTTCCCAAAGTTTGAGGCAGAGGCTTGGCTGTTTTATCGTAGAGTAGTGAATTGTGATTGACCTGAAATTGCATCCACTCCCTGGATGACACCACATGGCCTCTGTACTATATAGGGAGGCCAAGGGGCAGAGCAGCTGCTCCGTGTAGAAGATCCATGGAAAAGGTAAGTAACCAACTCATAATGGGTTGTGAGAGGGAGTGTGTGAGACCCACTGGGGTAAAAAGCGGAGCACAGGGATGCCTTGAAGTTCGGGAGGCCCAGGGCAGACCATGTGTGTGAGCTGGGGAAATATTGCATGCAGAGCTGGGCCTGCTCTAGGCCTCCCAGGGATTCCCCCACCCCCAGGCACCTTGTGCTTTGCTTAATGATCACCACGGGGAGAAGAGGGATTAGAGTCATTAAGCAAGATGATTGAGTGCCACCTTTAATGACTGTCACAACTCACAACTATAATGGGCAGGCTCCTTGGGCCCCAATCAGCGTCTCATTCTGAAGCTGGCTAGAAGGTTAGATAAGGTCCCACTTCCACCCCATTTACGCATTTGATCCTTTTAGTCTTTTGTTTATTTGGTTCACACAAAATGGCTATGCCAAGAATCAGAATTTTTCAGTTCCCAAATCAGCCTATCCCTGATAAAATGGTCAAATGTATTGGCTCAGGTTGTTCTTTTTCTCTCATGGATGAAAATATCTCTTGCTGCTCTTTTGTCCTCTCTTGTCTCTGAAACCTTTTCTCTCTCACGTTCTCAGCTGAGGTTTCTCTCTCACTGTTGGTTTCTGCTACTGAATGTATTTATCCTCCCCCCCCTTTCTCTCCATCCGCAGTGCAACTTTTTCAAGCCAACCCGCTACTACCGCATCATGCCCAAATACCATGCCATTCGTATCCGGCAGGAGGACCGCTACCAGCCAGCTGGCGGTTTCTTGCCTCCAAAGCACAAGAAGCGATGGGTGACAAACTGGCAGGAAACGGGAAGATACTACTGACATCTGCCTCAGTTTCCCCCTCTCCTATGCTCACTCCTAGGCTGCTTGGTTTGCCTTTGTAAATATTGCTGGACCAACCAAGGAACTCTTATTTATAGTAAGTTATATGTCCTTGGTCAATTACGACCCAAACCTTTCTCCAGACACTTTGATCATGGGGAGAAAACTATTCTTGCAAGGTGGAGATGGTAGCATTTATAAAATTTTAGGCACAAAGGAGTAGCTTTTTCATTTGCACTGCTGGGTTCTTCCCCCACCCCCACCCCCGCTCCCCCCCCAGCCCACAACACTCCAACACCACTACCAGCATTCTTGGAAATATAGTTCCATGAAGCAGAATGAAGGGCAGATTTGAAAATCAGCTTCATTTTGCACTAAAAGGGCATAAGCACTTGTGTTAATTGCCTATATGGAAAGATTGTGATCTAATGAAATTGCTGTTTATTATAGCCCCACTCTTGACTATTCCTCTCATGAGCTCAGTGCAACTTCTGTGTGATTACCACACAGCCTTCCATTTTAGCAGCTTATAACATCT